AATAATTTTATTTTTATATGTATTTACACACCACACACACACACTTGTAGCAAGAATTACTATCACAGTCACTGATTGGGCCAGAGCCCCCTGTGGCGTTAGCAAAAGACTTGCTCCTCCTCATGCAGCACAACCTACACTTGTGAGTTCACTGGCCAGGCAGTGGCCTCAACTCCAAGCTCCAACAATGTACAGGAAAGGTGATTAGTTTGAATTGAGATGTGCTATAAGAAAAAATAGACATTGAATTTCAAAAACCTACCATAAGAAAATAAAGGTAAGATATCTCATAATTTTATATTAATTATGCGATGAATAATATTTTGCTGATACTGGGTTAAATATTTTATTAATTGATCAGTTTCTTTTTCCTTTTTTAATGTGCCTACTGGACAATTTAAAATTACATGTGCAGCTTACACTACACTAACTACTGAATGGACAGCACTGCTCCATAGTAAAGACTGAGAAAAAGACCTGACAAAAAAATTTCTCAAGTACTTATGTTCTAGAATGAATAATTTCACTTTAGATCATCAAAAAGATTAATACAACACAGATAAAGGTAGAAAGAAATATTTATCAGAAAGGCTAAGGTAAGTTTTTTGTAACTCAAGAGTGTATTATTTTAGATATTCAAGAGGTATCCCAAAATTAAAGAATAAGATAAAAACCTCATGTATAAAATGTCTGATTTAATTTAAAATTAATTTTCAGTATTTCCACAGTACTAAGTATATATAGGAGGGTTTTATGTTCTATTTTCCTTCAGAGGGTTAGGATAGATCTAAGTTTCATAGATCACATACATACCATGATGGCATCAGAAAACAGGCAACTTATTTTTAAGAGAGGGAAAATTTCATTCCTCCTGAAAAAACAACTTTAGAGTTTACATAAAGTTGGAGAAAAATAAATCTGTATCACAGTATGATCTATCATCATGAGAAGATACACCGAATGACATTTCCCAAATATCCTTAAAAGCACTCCAAGTATGTATTATACTAAAGTTAGACATACACATACTCCACGGTTCAGCAGTTCTGCTCCTGTGCATACGCTCATCAGAAAGGAACGCTTAGTTCTACCAAAAGATATAAAAAAATTCATAGCAGCCTTACTTGTAGCCCCAAATTGGAAAGATATTCAATATCCATTTACAGTAGAATGAATAAATGGTGGTATAATCACACAATGGAATATAGACAATTGGGGGGACAAATAACACACACATGGATGACTCTCAGATACATAATGTTGATCAAAAAACTCCAACACAAGAGTTCATATTACATGACTCCAACCATATGCAGTTCAAAAACAGGCAAAACTAACACACAGTAAAAAATGCCACAGATTGGTTTCTGTTAAATAGAGGTAGTACTGACTAGGAAAGACAGCCTTCTGAGGTAGGGTGTTAGTTACACGGGGTATGCTTATGTAAAAAGAAAAAAAAAATCACTGAACTAGCAAGTAAGAGTGTCTGTTTGACTACATGAAGTTATAATTTGGTAAAAGGTTTTTTGTTTTCTATTTTAAAGGGCCTTAAGTATCATGAGTTAGTTTCAAAAGAACTACTTAAAACCAATTCCTATTTTAAATTTACATTCCTATTCTGAATTTACTTAATCCTACAACTAAACATATTTGCAGTTTTTTTTTTTTAAAGATTTTATTTATTTATTTGACAGAGACACAGTGAGAGAGGGAACACAAGCAGGGGGAGTGGGAGAGGGAGAAGCAGGCTTCCCGCTGAGCAGGGAGCCCAATGCGGGGCTTGATCCCAGGACCCGAAGATCATGACCTGAGCCGAAGGCAGACGCTTAATGACTGAGCCACCCAGGCACCCCTATTTGCTGTTTTTTAAAAAATAGCAACCAGTTCAACTTTATTCAAACATACTCTTAATTTTGAGGTGACATGATAAATTTTCATAAATGAGTAATTCATAATGACTTTAAAAGTGTAACAATCCTTGTTTGTACTTCAAATATTTAATTGTAATACTTAATTCCTATCTTCAATTTAAAAAGATTACTTTTCATGCTCATGGATTAGAAGAACAAGTATTCTTAAATGTCTAAATTACCCGGAGGCAATCTATAAATTTAATGCAATTCCTATCAAAATACCAATGACGTTTTTCATAGAACTAGAATAACAACAAAAAATCCTAAAAATTTTTTTTTTTAAAGATTTTATTTATTTATTTGAGAGAGGGAGATAGAGCAGGAGCTGGGGGAGGAGGGGCAGTGGGAAAAGCAGGCTTCCTGCTGAGCAGACAGCCTGACTTGGGGGCTCAATCCCAGGACCCTGAGATCATGACCTGAGCTGAAGGCAGAGGCTTAACTGACTGAGCCACCAAGGAGCCCCCCAAAAATCCTAAAATTTATACAAAAGACCCCGAATAGCCAGAGCAATTTTGCAAAAGTAAAATACAGCTTGGAGGTATTACAATTCCACACTTCAAGTTACATCACAAAGCTGTAGTAATCAAAATAGTATGGGATTAAAAGAAAAACAGACACAGAGATCAATGGAACAGAATAGAGAGCCCAGAAATAAACCCACAATTATATGGTCAATTATTACTTGACAAAGGAGGCAAAAATATGCAATGGGAAAAAGTCTCTTCAACAAATGCTGTTGGGAAAACTGGACAGCAACAGGCAAAAGAATGAAACTGGACTACTTTCTTACACCACATACAAAAGTACACTAAAAATGGATTAAAGACCTAAATGTGAGACCTGAAACCACAAAAATCCTAGAGAAGAGCATAGGCAGTAAGGTCTCTGACACAGGCCACAGCAATATTTTTCTAGATGTGTCTCTTGAGACAAGAGAAATAAAAGCAAAAATAAACTATTGGGACATCAAAATAAAAAGCTTCTGCATAGTGAAGGAAACAATCAACAAAACTAAAAGGAACCTAGTGAATGGGAGAAGATATTTGCAAATGACGTATCCAATAAAGGGTTAGTATCCAAAACATATAAAGAACTATACAACTCAACACTCAAAAACCAAATAATCCAATTAAAAATGGGCAGATGACATGAACAAACATTTCCCTAAAGAAGACATCCTGATAGCCAACACACACATGAAAAGATGCTCAACATCACTCATCATCAGGGAAATGCAAATCAAAACTGCCATGAGATATCACCTCACACCTGTCAGAATGGCTAAAATCAACAACATAAGAAACCACAAGTGCTGGGGAGGATGTAGAGAAAAAGGAACCCTCTTGCACTGTTGGTGGGAATGCAAATGGTGCAGCCACTGTGGAAAAGAGTGTGGAGGTTCCTCAAAAACTTAAAAATAGAGCTACCCTATGATCCAGCAATCGCACTACTGGGTATTTACCCCCAAAATACAAAAACACTAATTCAAAGAGATACATGCACCCCTATGTTTATAGCAGCCTTATTTACAATAGCCACATTATGGAAGCAGCCTAAGTGCCCATCGACTGGTGAACAGATAAAGAGGATGTGAGATATATAGATAGATAGATAGATATCAGAATAGAGAGAATCAGAGAATCAGAATATATATATATAGAATATATATACATACATATATAGAATATATATACACATATATATAGTGGAATATTATATATTCCACATAAAAAGAATGAAATCTTGCCATTTGCAATGACATGGATGAGCTAAAGAGTATAATGTTAAGTGAAATAAGTCAGAGAAAGACAAATACCACATGATTTCTCTCATATGTGGAATTTAAGAAACAAAACAAACGAGCAAGAAAAAAAAAGAGAGAGAGGGACAAGCCAAGAAACAAACTCTTAACTATAGAGAACAAACTGATGGTTACCAGAGGAGAGGTGGATGGGGGATGGGTGAAATAGGTGATGGGGATTAAGGAGGGCACTCGTGATGAGAATGGGGTGATGTATGGAATTGCTAAATCACTACATTGTATACCTGAAACTAATATAACACCATATGTTCATTATACTGGAATTATAATAAAATTAAATTAAATTTAAAAATAATAAATAAAATACCAGTAAACCCCTCCCAAAATAAAAAGATAACCTTGAATTTCACAAAATCCAAAGTTTCTGACCATATCATTTCCTTCACTGATAAAGTATGCATAGTCAAGATTAAAGTTAATATTTGGATTTCATTTACAATTTCTTTTATAGTCCTAATGTGCTTATTTAAATTCCTTTTTTTTTTTTTAAGATTTTATTTATTTGACAGAAAGAGACACAGCAAGGGAGGGAACACAAGCAGGGGGGGTGGGAGAGGGAGAAGCAGGCTTCCCGCCGAGCAGGGAGCCCGATGCGGGGCTCGATCCCAGGACCCTGGGATCATGACCTGAGCCAAAGGCAGACGCTTAACCAACTGAGCCACCCAGGCGCCCCTTTATTTAAATTTCTTATTCACTTTCACTCTCCCTCTCATAACTGACAAGAGAAAGGAGAAAATGCTACTTTGTCAATGGTGAAGAATTTTAAACACAGAAAGTTACTACATTAAAAGTTCAATATACTGTGCTATGGAAACATAAAAGACTGTAAATTTATAAATTTACAAATTGTAAATTTATAAATACTAGAAATTCACATGGCTTGACAAGTGATTAAAAAAATCCATACTACTGATTTCTGTGTTATCTCATGTGAATATAAATAATAAATATCCAGTTAATAAGAAAATATGTATTTAAAGAAGTTGACTTATTCACTACAACTTCAACAAATACATTATTTTATTAAATATTTCTATTCCAAGCAAGACAGCAGGCAAGTTTTCTAAGGAAAACACAAAACTTAGGGGAGGTTTAAAGGTGGATATTAAAAAGGAAACTTTGGATAAGGCTAAAGGGGACTGTGTTCACCACTGACTTTAGTCAAATCATTTGGTACATCCACATGGGGTCTTGGGGTTGCAAAAGACAAAAACACAAAACAGGTTACGTTTCTTCCTTTCTTCCTAGTAATACATCACATGTCCTGAGACTCAGGCTCTGCAAGCAGAGGAATTGTTATGCTACACCCATCTAACCACAGGTGATAATGCAGATAGGGATCTTAGTCGATGGACAGAGGCTGAGTCAGGTGTCCATGGATCCTGATGAAAGACTGGCAGAAATGTAGATGGCAGCTGATCTCTATACTAGAAGGTAGAGTTGTCAAAGGCAGGAAGGACT